TCTGTGAACCTTGCACACCCCCTGACCATCTCTGCTGCCCATGTGACCTGACGCCCTGCTCCCTCCTTAAGGAAACAGCCCTGACCTCAGAAAAGTCATCTGTGCTGGATTGATTGGCATCCCTCCAAAACTCATGTACACCCAGAACCTATAAATAGGACCTTAGTTGAAATAGGGTTTTTGTGGATATAATCCAGCTAAGATGAGGTCATACTGGATTACGGTGGGCCCCAGTCCAATGACTGGTGTCCTTATATGAAGAGGGAAATTTGGACATGGACACATAAGGAGAAGGCCATGTGATGACAGAAGCAGAAATTGGACAGATGCATCTACAAGCCAAGGGACAGCAAGGCTGGCTGGCAAACACCAGGAGCTAGGAGAGAGGCCTGGAGCAGACACTCCCGCAGAACCACCAGAAGGAACCAACCCGGCAGATACCTCCAGAACCGTGAGAGGATACGTATCTGTTGTTCTAAGTCACCAAGGTTGTGGTAATTTGTTACAGCAGCCCTAGGAAACGTATATATCTTAAGGTTAATTATTCCACCCCCTCTCACACTCCACCCCTGCCGCCTTGCCACCAGTCAAAATGGGCACAGGAAAGCCTCCCCTTGGGAACCATGGTTTGGCAGAAGGGTAGGTAGCATTGCAAACAAGGAGGTGCTTGGACAATGCTCAGATACTTTTGGACACCAGCTGCAGCATCTGCAGAAGAAAGATCACTGGGCTGGGAGTCAAGAGTGGGTCCTACTTCTGCCTCTTTCACTAACTTGCTGTGTGATATCAAATAGGTGGTATACTGTCTCTGGGCCTTGATTTTCCATCTGTCAGATGACTGCCTTGGCTGCTTTGAGGTTCCAAGAGAGGTATTTTTCCTTGTCGTTAATTTCTTTGTACAAGTAAAACTTGAATACACGATCATTTAAAAAATTTTAAGAACTCAAGTAAAGCCAAAACTGACCACAAATTCAGTCCTTTCTCTAGAGATGACGACTGTCATCCAATTGTACTTTTCTAGGTATGGTTTCTTGTGCCCTTAGGTACCAATGGAAATAGTTTCTTTTGCAAGTCATATTCTACCAAATACCTTTTCATCTTTGTGTGTACTTTATATTTTATAAACATCTGAATGATATCATAGTGCTATCCACCTCAGCGTATCCAGCCAGTTATGGGCATGAGGCCAGTTTCCAGCATTTCCCTATCACAAATGACCCTGCCCTGAGCATCTTGTGGGTGCCACCATCCTCACTGTTGGGTCCCTCTGTCTGCCGGCAGTGCAGTTGCTGGGTGGTAGCATGCTCATGTAACTTGGGAGGTGACCGCTGAGCTCTCTGTCATCCTCTGCTCCAGGCCCTGTTTTATTGCCTCCCCTCGGGACTGCTCCAGGATGGAAGGTTGTGGGGAGGGGCTTAGGAACCCCACCCAGGCCCTCCTGAGCCAGGCCCCTCCACTCCTGTCATCTGTTATCCGGAGAAGCCCCCTTCATGCTGGGGCTGACAGCTGAGCTTGTCAAGCCACCAGCCCTGCCCTGCCCAGAGCAAATGAGTATGACAGGCTGGATAGAAGGGGGGTGTCAGGATGACTTCCCTCTGCCCCTTCTTCGACATCCACAGCATGACAAGACCAGGAGGGCTCTGACCTACCCCATTCCCAACTCCATGCCACAGGAAGGAGGAAACAGAAGCCCAGAGAGGGGAGGGTGCTCCCCAAGGTCACGCAATAAGCAAGCAGCAAGCCAGGGCCTCAGCTCTGGACTCCCACTGGGGAGTTTGCCATTGGGTTGGGGAGACAGGTAGATATCTGTCAGTGTACCTGTGACCTCCCCCACCCTGGCCACTGACCCCATTTTCTGCCGTGCTCCTTCAGAGCCTGCCAGGCTGACCCAAATGCCCGAAATGTGCCATCTTTTGCCAGCTCTTGGCCCTCTAAAGTGACCAGAACTGGCAGACACCCTGGGAAGCTGATAGGGGACAGGAAAAGGTGGGCTCCAGGGAGGAAGAAAAGGAATATGGTCTATTGGAAAGCCTTTCTCTAGGCTTCAGCCTCTCCACCCGTGAACTTGGGGTTGGGGCCTGCACGCGAGGCCTTCATGACTGTCTGCCCTGGCCCGGCTCCGTCAGCAGGTGCCTGTGAGGGAAGCGGTTCCCTGCTCACTGAGGTCTCTCATCAGTCAGCCAGACAGGAGCAGTGGGGGCCACATCCGCCCCGATGCGGGTGCTCTGCGGGTGCCACAGGTGTCCGACAATAGGCTGTCCCTGGCCCAGCTGGGTCTCACAGGCCGGCGCTCCTTCCTTTACGTGGGTTGTATAGTCACGTTGGTCTCTCCCCCAGGGAGGCAGTGGGTGATGCGGATGCGACACTGTGTAACAGAGTGAGTTGAACTAAGTCTTAAGCGTCCCTTCCAATGTGAAAATGAAATGAAATTCAGGCATTTCTTTGGCAAAGTACTTCTGCTCATCTTAGAGGTGGGGAAACCGAGGCCTGTGCTTGTGGTGTTCTTCTGTCTGAGCGTCTGTAGCTTGGGTGTGATCGCTCACATTCTCAACAGCCCTGAACTTTTAGGCCCTGTCTTCCTCTCCCCCCCCAGGCCCTGGAGGGGGCCCCTGGGGCCTCCACCCCCACCTCCTTCCTGCTTCCACCCTCAGCCAATGGGCTCTGACGGGTCGTTCAGCTCCTGAAACGACTGCAATGGGGCGGCGCCCCACCCACGCTGAGTCCAGACACCGGAAAGGCAGCTCTGATACTGCAGAGGGGTGTGACCCGAGTCCCTTGAGGCTTGGAATCACCGTCCCCTAAACACTGAGCTACTTGGATCAGTCTGGTACATGTACTAAGGAAACAGAAGGGACTCCAGGCCCCGCTTTGAATCTGAATTCCCAGTAAAGCTCTGCTCCCCTGCTTTGTGGCCTCTCACAAATTACTGCCCATCCCTCCTCCCGGCCTCAGTTTTTCCATCTGGAAAGAGGAGGTGGAGATTGGAGTAAAATGTCTTCAGGGGCCCTTCCAACCCTGTCTTTTGGGTCAAGATGAATGTGATAGAACTGTGTGGCCAAGGGAAGCCAGGGCTGTGGTTTATGGGGTCAGGGAAGGGGGGTAGATGAATTCTTAAGGCACCTCTGATTACTAAACTCTCTAAGCTAAACAGGAACACTGAGGATGGAAATCAAAGCACTCGATCAGAAATACACAAGGCCTTGAAGGCCCATGAAAAGGAGGGAGGTATGGTCCCTGGAGCAAGGTTAGACCAATCACTGTCTTCAGGAGAGGCTGAGCCACCCTCAGGGCTACTCTTGGCTTCTATCCTGGTGGGATTCCCAAGGTAAGGAAGAGCTGGGCAGCTTCTATCCCAGTGGCTTCTGCCTTACTCACCGTCTCGGTGAGGCCCAGAATTTGAGGGAAGTGGAGGAGTCTGCCCCAGAGGCTTTAGCATGGAACTGGAAATTCACCCAAAGTACTGCAACCCGATAGTACTCAACAGAGCCCTCTGAGGCTTGTTGATGCTGGTGGTTTCTACGTACCATCTGCACTAGCTGAACGCTTCATGCTTCCCAGAGGTCTTCACTTGCTGAACATCAGGGATGCCTTATAGAATCATAGACTGTTGGAGCTGATGGTTCTCTGAGTTCCCTCAGTTCAGCCTGCAAAACGAAGTCTGCCTCTTCTTTTGTGCTACCAGTGATGGAGAGCTCACTACCACCACCATTCCCCACCTTCCACTAAGGCAGCCTGCCTCTGGTTGAAATAGTTCTGAAATCCTTCTTCAGGCTGAACTGCAAGTTCTTGAAACTTCTAGTCCTTGGGCACAATCCTGCCCTACAGTTTCTGCAGTTTTGCAGATATTTGAAGAGAGTAGCCAGGTTTTTTTGACAGCTCTTTAAGCTGACCAACTGTTGTTCTGTTGACAGTCTCCACTATCATATGGTTTGAGGTCCCCTTCCACATCCTGTCAGTTCCTTTTGGACACATTCCAGTTTCTCTATTTACCCTCCAAAATGCGAACACATTCTGTGGGGTTTCACCAGGCCCAGTCTGAACTTGTCTGGCTTCTGCACAGCTCGGGACACTGCCTTCCCACTGAACCCCGACTCTGTGTCCACTTTGGGCAGCCAGGTCTTACTGAGACCAGATTTGCTTCAGGTTGAACTCAGAGAAGTGCTCTGATAATGAAGAGCTGGGCCTAGAGCTGTGCTTTTTACCAAGATATAGGCGTCTTGTTTCCAGCCTTCCTAGTTGAAGGGCTGCTCTGGAGTTCAGAAGGACTGAGAACATCTGTTCCAACCCTGACCCATCACAGATGGAGAAACTGAGGTCCAGAGAGGGAAAGGGACTTCCCTAAAGTCACACAGTAAAGCCGGAACCCCTGTCTCCTGGCCTCTCCCCTAGTCCTAGGTTCTCCCCTCCCCTTCTCCCATGTTTCCATTGATTCAGGAAGCTGCCATCCCTCTTCCAGAACTCAATCCACATGTTCTACCCCTGTCCTAGGCCTCCCCCAGCTCTGATTTTGGATGGGAAGTCATTGTGTCTGCCTCTCTGCTCCTGTCCTCTCCCACTGCAGGGTGAACTCTGCTCCATGACCTCTGAGGTGGAAGCGATCAGGGTTCAATCTGGGGATTTTTAATCAGTGGTTGCTTATCAATTCTTACTCAGTTCTGGGCAATGTATCCTCAGGTTTTTATGAGCATCAGAATCACCTAGAGATTGTAGATTGGAGCTTCCCAGCACACACGCTGCCCTCAGGTTCTGTAAGTCTAGAGTTGTGTTAAGCCAGCATTCCATCTGGTTCTAATACAGCAGGGCCCATGGGCCACATTCCTGCAAATATTGCTCTGGGCATTGTAATGGGGCAAGTGGTCCTTGTCCTCAAGGAGCCCCTTGGACTAGCAGGAGAAACAGGTAACCAGATAGGTCCTCACATGGGTGTCTAAACAGGCCCTAGAGATTAGAGCTGATAGGAACTAACTCAGTCCTAAGGAGAGATGGAGGAGAAATGACAGATGAGCTGAGCCTGGAGGCCTGAGAAATTGTTGACTGTACAGGCGTACCTTATTTGATTGCTCTGTGCAATATTATGCTTCACATATGTTGAATATTTTACAAATTGAAGGCAAGACCCTCCACCAGCAAAAAGACTACGACTCATTTGATTTCAGTAGTCTGGAACCAAGCCCTCAGTATCTCTGAGGTATGCCTGCATGTCATGCTGGGGTCATCTTGCATGGTCTTGAACACACGAACACACGTGCTAGGGTACAATAGGCTGTTTTGGTTTGGTCTTGGCCTAGAAGATTTGCCAACAATTTTTAAAAGGTGATACAATTCCATGTTGGCAAGGCTGCAGTGAAGCTGGCCTTGTGTGCTATTAGCAGGGGAGTTAATTGGTAGAACCTTCTAGAGGATAAAGCCAGTAATTTTAGATGCGTAAAAAAATCTTATAAATCAGTATGTTAACTAAAGCATAATTTGGAAAAATGGAAATAATCTAAATACTCAACAGTAGATTATTGGTTAAATGATTAAATTTATCCATAGGATATAATGCTTAAGTCATTAAAATGAATATTTTTTACAGAATATTTAATGCTTATACCATATTTGTAAAGTTAAGTTATAAGGAAATAGACCTGGCTGGTGTGGCTCAGTTGATTGAGCATTGTCTCCTGCACCAAAAGGTTGCTGGTTCGATTCCCACTGAGGGCACATGCCTGGGTTGCCGGCTTGATCCTCGGTAGGGGGCATGCAGGAGGCAGCCGACCGATTTCATTTCACTCTCACATTGATGTTTCTCTCTCTCTGTCCCTCTCCCTTCCTCTCGCGCTTAAAAAAAAAAAAAAAAAAATCAATAAAAATATTTTTAGGAAATAATGTAATATTCTAATAATAAATAAATATATTGCTGCTGCTACTATAATTAGAAAAATGTTTATAAATATTTAAATATTAAGGAAACAGACTTCAAAATATAGAAAAGTACGCATATAACTCAACAACAAAGATAAATAAATAACCCAATTAAAAAATGGGCAGAGGATCTGAATAGACAGCTTTCCAAAGAAGGCATACAGATGGCCAACAAACACAGGAAAAGATGTTTAGCATCACTAATTATCAGGGAAATACAAATCAAAACCACAATGAGATATCAGCTCACGCCTGTTAGAACGGCTACTACCAGAAAGAGAAATGACAAGTATTAGAGAGGATGTGGAGGAGAGAGGACCCTTGTGCACTGTTGGTGGGATTGTACACTGGTGCAGCCACTATGGAAAAGTTTGGCAATTTCTCAAAAATTTAAAGATAAAACTACGAAATGATCCAGCTATTCCACTTCTGGATATTTATCGGAAGAATACAAAGCACTAACTCGGAAAGATATCTGCACCCTTATGTTCATTGCAGCATTATTTACAATCACCAAGATATGGAAATAACCTAAGTTTTCATTGATGGGTGAATGGATAAAGATGGGCCACGTATTTAGAATGGAATCCTACCTGGCCATTAAAAAAAAAAAAGAGGAAATCTTGCCATTTGGATGGACCTTGAGGGTGTTATACTAATGAAATAAGTCAGATGAAGAAAGAGAAATCCTGTGTGCTTTTACTTATATGTGGAATCTATAAAACAAAGCAAATGAGTAAACAGAGCAAAAGGAAAAACTCATAAAGAGAACAGCTTGGTGGTTACCAGAGGCGAAGGGGGTAGGAGAGGGCAGAATGGGTGAAGGAGGTCAGTTGTGTGGACGGAAACGATTTATGGTGGTGGTCACTTTGCAGTGTTTACAAATGTAAAATTTTAATGCGTATGCCTGAAACTTACATAATGTTATATACCAAGTAAAAAAAAATGGGATGGAGGAGGAGGAGAGTAGACTGGAGACAGAGGGTGATGAGCCTTGAATGTCATTCTGAAAGAGTGGCCCTGGTTTTGTCAGGATCTGGGGACTCGGGTGCAGGCCGCATCCTGCCTGAGGTCTGGAAGCTGTTAGTGAAGGAGAGTTTTCCCCTCGCTATGGTGGTGCTTTGGGACAAGACAACTTTTCATGAGCTTTATGATCTTATTTCCGGCGACCTGAGTCCCAAGGCAGCCTAAGAGATCTACCAAAGCACCGTGGAGACGTTGTTCTTGCCATCTTTTCATAAAATAATAAGCACATGTAATGTGTTCGCTCTTAGAATATGCCAGGTGTTATAGGTGTATCATCTCATCTAATCCTTAAAACAACCTCAGGAGGAAACCAGGGCCTAGGGAGGTCGTGCAGTCACTCAGTGTTGGGTTTAGGATTTGGACCCAGAGTTCTTTTTTTTT